TGTGCTTGGCCTAACGATTTTCCTTTGCAAGCTCTGCAAAAAAGAGATGTTTCTGATTGGGTTTTTTTTCCACTTGGAAGTTTAAAATAAGTTCTCAATGCTTAAAACATCTCAGTGAGGGTGGTAAGGAGCCAGGTGTTCTTGGCACTGCAGCGAGAGGGACAGCCTCCCTCCAGAGGAGGAGATGAGAAGGGTATTTAATGCAATTTGAAAGAATCTGAACATCTCCCAGCAGAGTAATTTCTCTGAATCAGTGAATAAAGAGATACAAACCTGCACACTCCCTCCTCCTTCACCTCAAACACAGCCACAAAAATGAACCTTCCAAGAAGCAAACAAACTCCTGTGTCTCCCATGTCCCTCCTCCAGCATATCCCAGTCCCACCCAGCAATCAGCTGCCTGCTCTGGAACAGGACAGAATAAATCTAACAACATGAAAAATCACATACATTGTAGAGAAGGTTGATTTTATAAATGTTGCAATATTCTGAAAACAATTCATAATGGATTGTTGAATGAATGCACAGAGAGATATGAAATTACTGATGTTAGAAATTCTGTAATGGGAAATGTTTCTATTGTGAGAAGAAGTGTTTCAGAGCATTCTGAGATGGCCACATTTTTCTGGCTGTCAGGTAAATATTATGAATGTGAGTTGTAGAGCACACAGAAAAATAGCACCTCTCAGCAATAATTACACAGCCCATCTGTACTCTCTTCAGGGAATTTAAAATCATGTCATATACACCCTTTACAAATGCCTTAACAATCCCACAAAATCAGGAGAAAAACAAAGCTCAAAGAGAAGGAGACTCAGAAGTCTCTACTGCATGTTTAGATAGATCCCACTGTACAAATAATGCATTACAAAATATGAAAATAAAAATGCTGTATTTGTTTAAAGCATTTTAATTTTTTTTTGTTGTTTTTTTCTGTGTTTCCCCTTTGCACTTAACAAAAGCACCATTTATTCCTAACTGGGACCTTGATGAGAGCAAGTAGGATAAAAGCAGGAATACAGCAAGCATGAGGGGATGACAAAAGAAGAAAAATGGACAGCAGGAAACCAATTTTCAGAACTACTCCTACTCGGGAGAAGCACATCCCTCAGCAGCTCCAAAGAGCTGTTTGCCAGAAGGAAAGGGAGAGAGCACGAGGAGGAAGAGGGTGAGACGTGAGCAAAGAGGAGGAAGCAGGGTGCAAAATGTGTCAGATAAGTAAAAGGAGAAGCAGGGGAGATTTGGGAGAAAGTAAGTCTCAGATTTCTGGCATTTTTTGTCTCATTACTCTTTGCATATCTAACACAAAAGGAGCAGCTTAAGGCCCTGGTTTGGGTTTGGTTCCCAGAATTTCAAGCCCAGCCTAACTCAGTATTTCAGTATTTCCCACCAGCCTGTTCCCAAGCACATCAGGGAAAGCGGCCTTTCAGTGAACAATCCAAGATTATCACAGTCACAGCGTCCAGACTTGGCTCTTTAGCCTTCCCTCCACCTTCCTAACCCCAAGCCTGTCCCCTGTCCTGTCCCTGCTCCTTGGCTGGAATTGTGTACAGCAGTGTTTTCAGTCATGTAAGGTCATATCTGTTACAGGTGCACTGTAAAACAAAAATCTTCACATTATGTAGCTACTGCTCTCTGGAGCTGAGTGTTTCACAAACTTCTGTGAAAACTCCTCTCACTTTTCTGTAAAGGGCTCATCCCAACTTTCCTTCTGACTATATTGCCACTGAGTAGATTTTTCTGAGTTTCAGGAACAAAATTATTGTGTAACAGTAAACTGCTACATTTATTCATAGAATCACAGAGTGGTTTGGGATGGAAGGACCTTAAAGGTCACCTCATTCCAGCCCTGCCAGGTGCAGGGACACCTTCCATGAGACCAGAGTGTTCTACCCAACCTGGCCTTGGGCATCCACTGATCTTTCTAGCCCAAACCATGACTCAAGTGTATTTAACTCAATTTCACCCCAAACTGATCCTAATCTGCCGTCCAGGCCATTCCTGGATTGCAGAGTAGGTCAAGCCAAAGAACAGCTCTGAAAATGAAGAAATAACAAGAACTGGATGCAGGAGGGAGAAGAGAAAGGGTGGTGAACTCAGTGCCTGTCAAATTCTGCTTTGGCCGTATAAGACCCTCACTCAATAACAGAGATTGTTCTGAGCCATTTGAGCCAAGTTTCAAACCCAGCAAGCTTCTTCAGATGTGCAGTGAATCCCTGTAAGGCTGAATTTATCACAGGGGCACTGCCAGACCTGCAGCCACAGTGCTGCTGGTGCTGCTGTAATCTCATCACGTCATGTTAGAGATGGCTAAGAAGGTTTTGTGAGCCTGGCCATTGTGCCTCCCTAATTTATGGTGTTCCTGTCAGGGAGAAATCAAGTTTCATAGTTATGACATTTCTTTCTGGAGCACTAAATGTTAACTTTGCTGATCATGCATATCTTGGTAGAACAGCTTATTTCTAAATGGCAAACGTGATATAAAAAGCATAATGACTTCATTCAAAACCTTACAAAGCAGCTGATTCTCACACCTATAGAAAACAGGCCAAGTGGTATTTTAGTCATCAGACTATGGAAACACACACACACTCAATGTATTTGATTAATTTCTCCCATTTTAAGTAAAAAACATGATGCTGGGATTGCACTCTATTGAAAACTAATATGTTTTGTACTTATTAAATGCACTTAAATAATGTCCTCCAATAAGAGTTACAGACAGCAGGAACAGCAAAGCTTTTCTTTTTTTCACATGTTTCGTTTTGTGCAAGAATTTCATGTTAACTGGTCATCATTCTGTGCTGGATGATTGTACATAACTGAAGGCAAGGACAAAGGGAGCCTCACACTGTTACAAAATTCATCTACTCTTTCAGCACTCAGGACAAACTAGAGAAAGATGCAGCACTACTTGACAGGTGAGGAGAGGAACACAGCAAAGGATGCCCACTCTGCCTCTGTCACCTTGGCTACTGGTGCATTTTCCTCTGCAACGTGAGAGGAAATAATTCCCACCAGAGTGCTGGCCAGACCTGGTGTCGCTGTGGAGATATTGTGTCTCCTCTGGTGCAGGTGTTGGGGAAAAAATTGCTGTAAATGAGTAACTCCCATCAGCAAGGGCCTGCTAAATAATACCCTGAAACCCAGCTGCCTGCAAAAAGTGCAGGTTAAATTACAAAGGACTGGCATTGTTTACAAATACGTATTTAATCTTCATGTTGACATACTGGTAACATTTAGAATACAATCAAAGCTTCTGCAAGTTTACTTGCTGCTACAAATATTCCACTGCTGTGTTTAAATTAGGTCTCTGAACACTTAAAGGAAAGGTTATGGTTTAAAATTAATGGAATTTCAACTAAATTCTAATAGTTTAATGACTTGCAGTAACAAATACACAGTCAGATATCAGAGAGAGATGTTTTTTCCACCCAGCCAACAACTGGGCAAGTACAATGATGACAAAGAGAAGTTTTTACACATATTAATCCTAAGTAGGGATCCTAATGGGAAATGTCACTCCTGCATTTTCCCAGACTCCCTAGAATCCAAGAGGAAAAAAAAAGTCAACAAAACCAAAGCATTCAGAACAGTATTTGCCCTAATCTAGACATGGACTCCCAGTAAAAATAAGAAACAATCTGAGGTAATTTTGGAGATGCTTTGGGCCAGAAAGCAAATCAGAAGGAAAACAAACCTCTCCAGAACCTCAACAGAGAGATGTAGAATTTTACTGCAGTGATGTGACAAGAGACATTTGCTGTGCCCCTTGAGAGGATGCTGCTATCAGAACACATGGGCATGAACAACAAACACGTGCTTGGTCACTGTGAGTTCCTTTCCTGGCTTGATTTAGAAACAAAACCTCCTGAAGCACCAGCCTGTGACAAAAGGAAGTACAACACAACCCTCACTAATGTATTCTCACAACTGGACTGTAGTGTTGGGAACAGCGACTTTCTCAAGGATAAAATAATGACACACTAAAATTAAGATGTTTTACAATAAAGATGTGTGAGCAAATCAGTTCAGCTAATCAGTGAGAGTTGTAAGAACAAAGCAACTCAGAAGTCAGATTCTAGAGTGACAGGGATAGATGAGTTTAAATGAACACAAATATTGAAGACATTTACTTTCCAGAACAGATAGCTCTATAGACTCATATATTTAAACCCAAAGAAAAATGGATTAAACTAATGACCTTTCAAAGCTGACAACATTTTACTTTGTCAACAACAAACCCACATGTGCATGCAAATACACACACACGTCAGACTGGTAACACCTTTCATTTTTGCTCAGTAAAAAGTGGACACACTGTTTTAGAGAATCCCATCACACCAATCCTTCACATACACTGATCCTACACACTTCTATTTTGAAAATTTCTTGTTTTAATGCATTTTTGAGTGTGTGACAGGACAGCAACTCTCCACACAGGCAAGAACCTTTCTGAACAGCCTACTTGGCAGAGACTACGACAAGCCTTACAAAATACAAATATGTTTTAACCAACCAGAAGGAAGTTCAGGTTTGGCTACCAGAGATTCTACCCACTGAAGTACTTGCGATAATTTACTCAGGTATTTACCTGCTCTGGTTCTGCACTGCTAGAATTCCTGTTTTCTTCTTCAGCCTCACTAAGGTACTTGTGATAATTTTCTCTGCTATTTACCTATTCTGGATTTGCAGTGCACTAGAATTCTTGCCATGTCCTACAGCATTTTCTCTTAACTTTGACTTTAAACAGCATTTCAGTAGAGTTATGAAGCTTTCAGAGATATTACTGTAGCCTGTAGTGAGTGTCAGTGTCCATTTTTAATGACACGACAGACTCACTGACAGATCAGAGCAGCAGAACTCCCTGGCTGCAGTGTGGGTGTTGCTCAGTGTTGGGAGCAGCGCAGGTGAGCTGGAGCAGTGTGAACTCAGAGTCTCATCCTCCTCCTCGCTGAGAGCACCACTGCAGATCCCTGCCTGCCACGAGGAATCCTTACCTTGATGACGGAGGCCCCTGCCCTGGAGAGGGGGCTGTGCATCTGCGCCGCCGCCGCCATGTTGGCGATGGTGTTGAGATGGTTCATCTGGTTCATGGCCATGGCCACCGAGGCCGGGGGGAGGCTGACGGGGAGCAGGGGGTGCGGCATCATCATGAAGGGCAGGTCTATCCCTGCGGAGAGCACAGACACGTCACTGGGGCATCCTGAGGGGCCATGACACCCACCATGTCACTGAGCACCCCCTGAGGGCCCACACCATCCACCATGTCACTGGGACACCCTGAGGGGCCATGCCATCCACCATGTCACTGAGCACCCCCTGAGGGCCCACAACATCCACCATGTCACTGGGACACCCTGAGGGGCCATGACACCCACCATGTCACTGAGGGCCCCCTGAGGGCCCACACCATCCACCATGTCACTGGGACACCCTGAGGGCCCACATCCCATTGCAACATCCACCATCCACCACATCAGTGGGACACCCTGCAGGGGTGACACCATCCACTGTGTCCCTGCAACACCCTGAGGGCCCACACCATCCACCATGTCCCAGGGACACTCTGAGGCCCACAATATCCTCCACCATGTCCCTGGGACACCCTGAGGGCCCACATCCCACTGCAACATCCACCATCTACCATGTCCCTAGGACACCGTGAGGGGCCACACCATCCACCATGTCACTGGGACAAGCCCACACCATCCACCATGCCCCTGGGACACTCTGAGGGCTGTCACACCCCACTGCAACATCCACCACTCAAGCCCAACAGCAGCAATTCTTATCAATTCTATGGTTCCACAGGGGATAACTGTCTGTGCAGCCCAGGAAAGGCTGGTTTGTACTGGGGAGAGGAACACACAGCTGGGGAGTGACAGAAAATAAATATAAAACTGCGCCAGTTTAGTGATCTCTTTAGTTAAGATAACTAAAGAAGGAAAAAGACCCACAAAACATGCATATAATTTGCATGTTTTCCAACATATCAGATGAATATTTATTAAAAACTCTATCTGGTCATACACTCCTACCAAGACTTCTTCCCATTACACCTTCTCAGCAATGTCACACTAAATTCTTATACTTTATTTCTGAAATCCAGGAGGCTGTGGCTCGGATTACAGACACCACTGAGCAATTGTACAGAAGGTCTGTGAACTGCAACACGTAATGAGAGGTTAAAATTGTCACCAGAGGTTTTAATTTTCAAAATGTCACTTTAAATTGTCTTCTGCTATGGATATAAACCAATTTAAGAAGGTATGAAATTTATTTGGATCAACTTGCAGATCTTGACATTGCCAAAAAGGTGAAGTTACTGCTAGCAAGAATTGGATTCTCATACTTCATTAATATCCATTTCAGCATGTGTATTACTTCTTGTATTTAGTAATGACTGCACTGGAAAGAAAGAGCAAGACACCAATTTACTGAAAAAATAGTTATTGTGCATTCAAGAGTTCTTTAGAGAGATCACTTGGAGATAGCTACCATCGGGCATCCAAAATTAATTTTTCAGGATAAAACCCAAAAATCAGGACCCACTCTGCCACACAAAAATGTCTTATCATTTTTCTAAATGACATTTAGACAAAAAATCCTCATTAAAAAATTCAGGTGCAAGTATTAAATACCACAAACATATAGCTAGTCATTACCACAAACCATTGAGAATGTTTATTGCTAAAACGTTTTCAACTTTTGTGTTTATCCTAACTATTTTAAAGGAGAAGGCCAGTCACCAGAAGGCCAGTTTCTGGTGTATGACAGAACTAACAACAAGAAATGCCACTGACTGACATGTCTTATGTTATTCCTACAGAATTTGACTCCAGTGATATAAAAACACCACGGTGCCCACCAGGAAAGGCAGCATTGCAATATTCCCAGCTCCCACACTATTCCTGTTTAACATGAGCATATCATGATCAACAACTGTGATGTCTAATGACTCACTCTCTATTTTATATGATGATCCACGCCAATATTAATTATGATAGGCAATAAGCAATGCCCACATACATCTCCCCTCACTTCAAACCACTCTGACAATCCCCTCCAGTGCCTGCATCCACAAGCCTTTGTTCCCCTGCAGATCTCCCTTAACAGCCCAATAATCTTTCCTCATCCTCTATAGAGTTCCAAAACTCCCAGACACCATCTGGCCACATTGAGTTGTATGTCTACTTAAAGTCCAATTGACATGCAAACTAAATGCAAACTACAAACAGAATTTAACAGCACATCACCAGTTTTAAGACACAATCCGTCAAACATTTCAGAGGACTATGAGGAAAATATATCCTGCACTTGCAAATCATTGGGCATAATGTCTGACATCCAGTAAAGCCTTTAACAGCCTATAGACATTCACCTACCACAAAATCCACTGGAAAATATCCTTAAGAGAAAAGAACACAATGTGTCTGTGTGTAAAAAAAATCCAGGTATTGAATTATGCAAGAATATAAATTGAAAGCACAAACACAGAGAATTTGAGTCCTATGACCTGGTGATTTTTAACTACTGACACTTAATCCAAAATGCTCAGGTCCACACCTTCCCACAAACAACCAGGCTCATTTTGTAGCAGTCATTTCAACAGCTCTGATTTGCTCAGGTCTGGGGCCTGACAGAGGCAGCAATGAACTGACTACTCCAAAAATTGTGTAAGGAGTCAGAAATGCCACTCATCCACTGAAACTAACACCTAAAATTAACTTCGAGAACTTGGAGGATAAAGAGTTTAAACAAGGAACAAGAGTCCATAAATAATGAGCTTTTCATTTTTCATCCATCATCAACTATAGGAACAACTTTACTCCTAAATAATTTTTAAAATGCTAATCCCAAATCAAATCCTTCTTTGAATACTTTTTCCTTCCCTTCTTTCCCTCTTTGGGTGCACAGATGTGGAACTGATGGCTTCCCACCTGCTCCCTTCCTAAGGGAAAGAAAAGAGATGGCTTTTTGGAGAGCTCCAAGTTCCAAATCCAACCTGTGTCATTTTATTCCAGTTGTTTTGAATAGCTGGGTTCAGTGCATGACCATTTACCTGGACATTCTGCATTTATTCCTTTCTCTCATATTTTATTTGGTGGGTCATCATTTCCATCTGGAGGAGAATTTTCTCACATAGCTAAACTTTTAAGCAATTGTATGATTATTTTTCCATGGAAATGACAATTAAAGACCGACAGTCCCAAACCCAGCAGTGAGTGACTGTTCCAAGAGGGATTAGGGACTTAGACTTGGACTGATGGCAGAGGGTGCCTTGGACATCAGTCCCAAATGCAGCTGGCAGTGAAGGCCTGACCCTCCTGTCACTCCCGTGTCCCCATCATTTCCCTGCTCCCCGAGGCTGGCAAGGAAGGCAAGCCCAGCTCCCAGCAGGGCTCCAGGCCCTCCTCTTTCCCAGCAGGACCCCAGTACGTACTGTTGGTGAGCAGGTGGTTCTGCTGGAGAGGGCTGAGCGGGTGTGCACTGCCCAGGCTGGACTGCCCTGACAGCGTGGGGTGCCCAATGCTGTGCTGGGATCCCGTCGTGATGGGAGACTGCAGCTTGTCCTTGTCCCAGGAGGATTCACTGCCACCTGCAAAACAGGGCACAGCAAGCCATGAGTGGCATGTTCCTGTACTCTGAGATATTTTGCTTGGCTAGCAAAGAGCCAACACTCCATTACCACAGCTGAGCACCTGGCACCTGCACCTGAATTTTTCAAAAAATAAATTAGTAAGTAAGTACGGAGCAAAAAAATATTTTTAGACACTTTCAGCATCACCTACTTTCAAAACATTGGTTTGTGGAAACAGGAAAGGCTAAATGTCAGAGGACGAAATCATCAGTGATGATTAAATGAATTATTAGAATGGGAATAACTGAGAGGCTGAGCCACCATCTCCTGCTATCACAGGACACGAGGCCACCAGTCCCTGCCAGACACTCATCCAAGTCCACTCCTGTGCCCATCAGGTCTCTGCACTGTCAGTCCTGCAGGCACTTGGCCATTCCCTTCCTCCAGTGCCACTGAATTCCAGCTGGAATTCAGCCCTGAAGAGTTTGTAAGTGTTTATCCTCGAGCCTGGATATCTTTGAGCTTCAGCAGCTGCCCCTCCACTGCTGGGCCTGACCCTGGGGATGCCCCACGTGAAACCCTTCACTTTGTGGGTTAAAAGAGCTGGGCACAGGCTGTGCTGGGAAATCATCAATATTCAGCAATTTCAGCTCAGGAGTCCAGATATCTATTATGCATAGTAATTACTGTCTACAACAAGCACAAAGTCTAGAAAACAGCACTTGGTGTCTCGAATCTCTGTCTGGTCTTCTGCAGCAATTTTACAGACTGCAGTTTTTTCAGTATTACACACTTGAATAACAAATTCCTTTTAAACAGCAGGTTAAGGAGACCATGTTACTGAATTCCAAAATACATCTGGTCCACAAAACACAACACTTAAAAAAAAGTTAGACTGAACATTTCCAGAGTTTCTTGAACATTTCAAGGTATTTTAAGATCCCTCCCCTCTCAGGTACACCCCACATTGCCACTTAGATTATAGATTGTTAGAAAAACATGTAACTGCAGTATTGATTTTGTTTTGAATTTATGAACAAGGATCTCAATTAGAATAAGTAAATAGATTACTGGAGTGCAGCAGATAGAGGCAGCAAGCAAAAAACCATTTTAATTGAATATGAAAGTAACAGAGAAATTCCATTCTTTATGACAACAGTTGGCTAATAAACATGATTAATACTGCTAAAAGCAAAAGTTTGAAAGATCAGTGATTGAGAAAAAAGGAAAACACTCCATCATTTTAGCACTATGTCCAAGTATGAATTACCTTCCTATAAAAGAGTTGTAATTTGTAAAATGATGAGTAATACACTGACAAAGAAAGATACACTAAATTATGCCATGTGATATAATGTAGCATGGCGTAGTGCAGTAATTAGAACTACTACAGTTGAGGCTGTGTCAGCATCTTTGTTATTTAATATACTGTATATCAGCTCTTTCAAATAACATTTGACTGCTACTTAGTGTGGAAGTTGTTCACTTTGACTACTGTGAATCTGGGGTGCTATTATTTGGTGTGTTTCAAAAGTTAAATGTGTGATTTATGAAGGACTTTTGGAAGAAATGTTGAGCATTTGATTATAACAAGTGAGTTTCAATTTTCTCCATGTGCTTCTTCCTCTATTCTTCCTCAAAAAACACACACACTTTTCCATGAATTTTTGCTTAGGAACACATTTTGTAGCTGTAATTTCACGTATCAGGGCACTGGCCACAAAACTGGGCCAAAGGCAGTTTGTTGGGATTTCTGAATGAAAAGAAAAAACTGAGTCTTCATTTGAAAGTTTCCCTCTGCCCGTGTTCCTCTGCCCTGGGTATTTCCAGCCCTAGGCACAGACGGTCTAAACTCAGCTCACTGAATTAATTCTGGAAGTTTCTCTTGCCTCTTAGAGCCTCGTGGCCCTGAGGCTGCAGCAGCAGAGCCCCCCCAGCTCTCTGAGCCCAGCTCATTCCCCAGGAAAATTCCATTATTCCCAATTTACAGATGGAGAATTGCCCTGTGAGAAAAGCAACTTGCTTAAGGAAACCCAGGAAATCTGCAGTGGAAGGAGAAACTGAATTTCAATTATGTCACATAGTCCAAATCACTGGACCAGTTCTCCTTACAGATGGGGACAACAATAACTTTTCCCCTCTGCAAATTCCACTTGTAAATCTGCTCCAGTATTCAGTGCCAGCAACACAAGAATAAATTGCAATACACTTATCTCTGCAGCCCATTCCTGTATTCTTATGTCCCCTATCACTTCTCCTTAGAGAAAGAAAAAAATACAGCTGAGTGTACAATGTCTAATAAAAGTGATATTAAATGAAATGCATCCTTAGCCTGCAGTGTCCCACAGATAACAGCTCCATCTCTCCATCTGGGCTGCATTTCCTATGTAGCAGGAAACCTCTTAAAAATGAAATAATAATTAGAACAGTTCTTACCTAGAACTGCTCAGGTGTGAAGTGTTTTGTAAGGGCAGTGTGGTCAGCTGCAGGTGGGAAAGCTGAGGGCAGAATTGGGGAGCTCCTGTTACACCAGTGAGGAAACTGAACTGGAATCGAGTCAGGGCTCTGGTCCTGCCCCTGTGCCCCACAGAAACCTCTGATCCATCCCACCCACAGTCCCTCTGCACAGCTAAAAAAGAACAATTCAAAAGAAAATTTGCATTCTTCCCTGGAGTATCTATGCCCATAGGGTAAGAAAACGATTACATACAAATTTACAGCAAGCCTGCAGCAGATTCACAGTAAAAATCAAGTATGTGACATGCAAACCTGTGCTGGTACACTCAGTCTTTAATTGCCATGCAGCGTTAAAAAAAGGTATTTATTTTTGAGTATACAATTTTCTTATTTGGTAACACACTTGTCAGCATGTTTGATCAGCAAATACATATCTGACATGCAACATATCAATGTGTATTTTCAAATTCTTTGTTGCCATAACAATTAGAAGCGAATACATCCATATAAACTGAATCCTTCCTAGTGCTTCAAATTCATGTTTAACCACAATTTTTCAGAGCCATTTTTTGTCCAAACAGGTGCCATCCATAAGGCAAAGATATCACATTTTGATTTTAATTTTTTTAAAATTTCAATTCTGTATTTTGTATGATGAGGTTACAGTACATACAGAGATGTATTTTAGTATTTTTTTTAGGTATATAAAACATAAAGGGAAAAATATATGTCAGTGACAGACCCCCACAGCCCCACTGGAAGGTGATTTATCATCACAAAGTGTCTCTGTTTGTTTTATATATTTGAAGGAAATGCAAGCAACAGGCTCAGCTTCAGTTTTTCTGAAAATGCTGCTACTCACCCATTACTAACTTCAGGAATTTTTTAAGGCAACTCTTAAAGCCAAAAGTTCTCTAGCAATAAGCCTCTCTCTGCATTTCCATTCTTCAGAACAAAACCTCAAAATCTCTTGTTTGTTTGTTGCATTTTTTTTTTTTTGGTAAAGACATATCTGTAGAGATTAAATCAGTGTCTTGGTTTTAGGTATTGAAAGATCTCCAGAAAGTAATCACAGTTCAATTTGGTGACAGTTTCTTTTCATTTGGTTTCAAATTCATTTTAGCAGCCTTAAATCTGTCTGCTTGAGCTGAATGAAATCCTCTCTGTCAGAGCTACCTTCGAATTCCACAACCACACTGTTTCAATCTATGTCTGTCATTTTACTGCTCCTTGTGATGCATTCCTGAAAAATTGAACTCCAATTGTAAAAAGCAATACCATCTTCACTGGCCAATTTTATTCTCAAATTATTTTTAAACACATTTTTCATCCTGTTGGGCATATTAAGCACAACAACAGCTGTGAAGAAAAAATATTCAGTGCATTGCTATTTCAGCACTGGTAATTCCAAAGTATTTCTCACCTCTAACTTCTTGTGAGTGTCCAGCACATACAGGGCCTTTGAAAATTGTTGATTATACAGAACCCCATGACTCCCAAAACAACACAGCAGTGCTTTTTCCTAGCAATCCTTGTGTTTCCAGACTATTTTACCAGTACCCCAACTTCACCCTGATATTGGCAAAAATGGTCACTTTTTTGGCCTACACAGAGTATCTTCTGCAAAAACATTTCAGCCTACAACTTTCTGTCAACATTTTCATGGTATCAACCTTTGAGTGTCCCAGGAAGACAAAATTAGGTCAAAAACTGAGACTCTCACTGCAGGAAGGTCAGGGAGAGACCACCCAGGTCTCATTCCTGGTCAAGTGTCACCTTCCTGTCAGAAAACCATCAAACTGCTCTGGGTCAGGATTTTGACCCATTTAACCCCAAATTCTGTCCCTTGTATTGGCAGTAGATAATGTTATTTATAGAGGCCATGCATGTGTGGGGATTTTCTGTGGTCCCTTATTACTCCCAAATGAAATTCTGAAATTTAAAAATGGGAACAAGATTTTAATCAGCCCCCCAAATCATTTCACCCATCTGGAAATCCAAATGGCAGATCTGAAATGCATTTAAGGCTTTAATTCATGGATTTGTCTGGCTGTGTGTATTGGGCTGGATCAACTTTTGGAGTGTACCCTACAAGAAAGCCATGGAAGTGTGTAGGGTAAGATATTAAAACTCAAGAAATCCAGTGATGGCTTTACTGGGCTACTTCCAAAAACTTATCAAGTGGTTCAGCAGATGTAATTACTGCCTAGCCCTGCCAAGGCTTTGAAATGTGCCCATTAATTCAGCAATTCCCAATCTGTCCATCAGTCAGTCATACTTAAAAAATATGTCTGTCAGGACTTAGGTGAAGTAATCTGTTGATAATTACACAATGAGAAGGCATCTGAAATCTGAATATCATTTCTAAACTTTTTGAAAAGTCTTGATGACAGAAAAATCAAAGTTTATTTCACAGCAAACAGGACATTAAAGGTAACTGGGAATATGTCCGACTATTTGATGCCAAATTAATTAAGAACAATTAATTTCAGGAAGATACTTTCTGAGACGATAAAAGCAGAGTTGCAATATTTATCTAGGAACGTAACCATCCCTCCCAA